TAAGAAAACTGGGAAAAGTGGTTTAGATAAAATTTCTGTAAGTTGGCTACACAATTGCTTGAAAGTAGTCATACTCAAAGACAAGTCATCAGTGACTTGCTATCAAACTGGGAAACATATCTCATGGGGTCTTTCAGGGACATGAACTGGGTCTGGTATTATTTAATATTTTTATTAATGACTTGGATAATAGAGTGGGGAGTATGCCCTTAAAAGTTGATTATCACAGCAAGTTGGGAGGGGCTCCTCGCACACTGGAGTACAAAGTTAGAATTCAGAACAATCTTGACAAATAGGAGAACCAGTCTGATATCAACAAGAAATTCAACAAGCAAATAATTGGATAAGTGGTACAACTGCAAGAAAGAATAGTAATAGAGATGTAGCCCTGTTAGTCTGGTCTAGCTAAAACAAAAGACAGGACTGTGCAGCACTTTAAAGACTAACAAGATGGTTTATTAGGTGATGAGCTTTCGTTTATTAGGTGATGAGCTTGATCTTGATCAAGAACACATATTCCTGCTCATCCAGAAATATAATTTATTCCATCATGTGCCAACAGTGTCCAGCTGCTATGTATATTGGACAAACTTCTCAGACACTTCGCCAAAGAATCAATGCACACAAAAGAGACATCTGACAGTTTCACAAGGAAAAAACAGTTTCTTACCATTTCAACCAGCCTGGGCATTGTCTCAACGAGCTTACTACCTGCATCCTGCTTCAAAGAGGCTTGAACACAAGACTTCAAAAAGAAGACTCTGAACTGTCATTCATGCTTAAATTTGACACTTTACGAATGGGGCTTAACAAATATGCTAATTATCTCACCCATTACAAAGATAGTTTCCCCAATTATCACCTCTAATATTACCTCATAGACACTAACCTCCCCCCTTCATCCCCCCTCTGTTCCCCCTCTGTTCTAAAATCTGATTTGTCTTTTTTATATGTGTTCACTTTTTTTGTTTGTATCGCTTTGGTATATATGGTCATGCCAATTTTCTTCCATAATTTGATCTGAGGAAGTGGGTCTGGCCCACAAAAGCTCATCACCTAATAAACCATCTTGTTATTCTTTAAAGTGCTGCATAGTCCTGTCTTTTGTTTCAGCTGCAAGAAAGGATTTGGGTGTTTTAGTGGATCAAAAATTAAATGAGTCAACAATGTGACACAACCATGAAAAAGACTAATATTCTGCAAAGTACTAAGAGGGGTTTCATATAAGACATGGGAGGTAATTATCCTCTTCTATGTAGTACTAGTTGGAGTTCACCTAGAGTCTCAAGTGATGTGTGCCACATGCTAGGAAAGAGGAGGTAAAATAGGGAAGAGCACAGAGAAGAGCCACAACAATGACAAAAGGTTCAGAAAAAGTTGATGGATGAGGAAAGGTTACAAAAATTGAACATGCTTATTCTAAATAAAAGAAAGCTAAAGGAAGACCTGATAACACACTCTCAAATAAATTAAGGACTATTATAGAGCAGTTGATAATCAATTACTCCCCATGTGCACTGAAAGCAGGAGAAGTAATTGGTGTAATTTGCAACAAGAGAGTTTATGTTAGATATTAGGAAAAGTTTTCTAAGTACAAGAATAGTTACACTTTGGAATAGGCTTCTAAGGGAGGTTGGGGAATGTCCAGCATGCAAGGCTTTTGGAAAAAATACCAGTCATGGATGGTCTAAGTATATTAGATTTTGCCTCAGAGCAGGGGGCTGGATTAGGTTACCTTTCTCCTAGCACTACATTTCTATGATTCTATTATTTCAATTACCAGGAAGGTTTTTAAAATTTTAGCTGTCATGCTGTCTCCACCCTATAGATTACCCACTTACTTCTCACAAGAAACAGAGATCAATTTACACTAATAAAACTTCCCTCTGAGACCAAACAGTCTGTGTGTATAGCATCAGTGCCTGATTACTCTCTGTGTTGTGTCTTTCATAGTTGGCTAGTGGCTCCATACCAGTAATTGATTTATCTCAAATGTCTTTCTTTCCCAGGTTCCGACCAGCCCTATGAAGGTGCTTGCTTTCCAACATTGTGAATGTTATCTATACTGACTGTTCTCTAAAGTGTGTATCTTAAGCTTCACCCTGTGTTTTCAGGAATGTAACTTCCCTCTATTGTCTGTATTGAGCTTTTGATCTCTTCCTATTTACAGGCTGAAATTCTGGAAAGATGCATTTATTTTGCAGTTACAAAATATAGTCAGGGTACAAGAGAGAAAATGCCACTGCTTTAAATATTGATAGATCCATAGAGAGGAGAAATAGTTCATTGGTCCAAACATACAGAAATAATTTTAATTTTGAAATATCCACGAATATAAGGGTATGTCTAGACTACCGGGTTTTGTCGACAGAAGTTTTGTCGACAGATACTGTCGACAAAACTTCTGTCGACATAGAGCGTCCAGACACATTGAGTTCTGTCGACAAAGCAAGCTGCTTTGTCGGAACCCTGTAGTCTAGACGCAACCCTACAGGCAATAACACCTTCTGTCGACAGAACTCTGTCGTCAGAAGGTGTTATGCCTCGTAAAATGAGGTATACCAGCGTCAACAAAACTGCTGAGTTCTGTCGACGTTATGTCGACAGAACTCAGCGGTAGTGTAGACGCTGGTATAGTTTTGTCGACAAAAGTCCACTTTTGTCGACCAAACTCAGTAGTCCAGACACACCCTTAAAGTGCTGAGAGAGAAATTAGTGCTTAAAAATTTGACTCCAATTATGGGTGCTGAAGAGTTGAGCCGATGGTGCTATGCACCTGATCTAAAAACTATGGAAATCACTGTAAAATTTCCCATGTGGCTCAGTGGTTTTGGGATCTGGCTTTAATAAAAAGGGCAGGGTTTAGAACAGTGGTGGGTAATAAGCAGTCCACAGGCCAGACACAGTTTACTAGGATTTGCCTCTGGTGGGCTGCCAGATACAGTAAAACTCCATTAGTCCGGCATCCAATGCTCCGGGACTCCTGATGGTCCGGCACCATCAGGAACCCAGAAGTGCTGGGGCAGCCGGACAGGCTTCCCCCATTCAGCTGCTGCTGAAACTGACCAGCA